CCCCAAAACCCCAAAACCCCAAAACCCCTTCAATAGAGCCAATTACTGAACTATTCAATTAAACATTTTGTCACCAAAGATCCTAACCATGGAAACCAGCATGCTTTATCTTCTGGTTTTTCTCTTGCTTGCTTTCTTCGCTTTGGCTGTACTACCCTTGTTTGCTTTAGTGGTGGTTTCCTTCTTCTTGCTTTTGGATTTTGAGCTTGTAGTCTCAGAAGCTTTCTCCTTGGATTTCTTGGACACTTTCTTCTTACTCGCTTTATTTCAGAATTCTCAATAGTACTTCTCCATTTCCTTTGCCATTACAGGATCTATTTTGACTCACAAGGGATGGAACCACCTATCTCAAGTCTCTCAGCCGATGTAGAGGGAATTAGGATTTAGAGGCTTCTTTCAGACTCAAAACTGTGGCCAATTTTTAAATGGAGGGTCGAGCTGCCGTTTAATAATGTCATACTTTGCCCTGGTATAATAGGTATTTTGGCCTGTTATCGACAAGTTTTGGTAGTCATTGATTAACATGACCTCAGGCCTGGCGAATACTGCATGTGCTGGAATAATCACATTGTGGTTCGAACTGAAAACCTCATTATCCGCAATGCTTGAGGACATTTCATTTGGGATATCTCATTTCTCCATATCAATATCCTTCTTCTGAAAGAATCTATAAAATAGAGATCCTAATTACCTTGTTGCAACTAGTTTGACAAGCTTCTCAGGGTCATCAGGCTCAGAATCCTCTCTATGCTTGATGATGACCAGAACCTTGGCTACATAATTCCCAGTGTTTTCATCCTGTACCTGAATGTAATCGCCAACCTTTATCTCGATATCTTTATATCTTACTTTTTCATAAGACTTTGTAAAGTTATCTAACTTCTCAATATCTTTCTTCTTCGATATCTTCTTCTTAGAGGAATTTTCAGATACTGTTTTCTTAGGCTTCTTGACCGATACTGATTCAGGTAGCCTCTCCTTATCCTTCTTTTTCTTGCTAGAAGCTGTAGGCTTCTTTGATGCCTTCATCTTTCCCATTTTCAAAAATTGACTTAAAGATTATTCGATCTTTCCATATAAGCTGAGCGTAATGATCATATTTTAATAAAATTTCAATATTTTAATACTTTTTTGGGGTTTTGGGGTTTTGGGGTTTTGGGG